CTCTTGTGTGATTATTGTTGTCCGTACTATGTAACGCAGCCATTAGATCATTGCAGACGGGTAGTCTCAAGTATCTTTCGGAATATTGATTAGAGATCCTCAAAGTGTAACATGATCATGGTTCGATAGATTTCTTTGGATCGAGATAGCAATACACGGCTCAGATTGAAATGTGAAGCTAATTGACGATAATGTCTATGTAAGGTAGTAATAGGCCTAATATCAAGTTAACGATATTGATGAACATGTATTTGATGTTGCAACAGATAAATTACGAAAGCCTCGACGCTGTTCGCCGGGAGGTTCCGTACTCAAAGATCGTTGTAGTTTACTCTTGTCTTATACGCTCAAGAGAGGCGTCCGGCTCAAGATCAGGCGTGGAATCGAGCCTGACCGAGCATTGGCAAAAGACGACTTCATATCACATGCTTCCTTTTCGATAGCTCTATCGAAGATAATTATAATCGTAACGGCTGCCTTTTAGGACGCGGTAGCCTGTATACGATAGACTGTAATAGCGCCTTCTTACCTGTTCGACATTGCGCCTTGCTTCCATAATGCATTAGGGTTCGCACCATTTATTCATTTTGCTTAAAGGAAGCAGGCTAAGGAGAACGACGACTATCGACACGTAAAGGTGATTGAAGGAAGTTTAAAATGCAGATTTTGTTGGTAGAGAAATTTCTCTGCAATTTTGTGGGGTGTGACACAGCCACAAGTCTACCTCAGCCATACTACTAGCCACCCCCTGAGTGCTCAGGTACGAGACGAAATGCTTCACTAGAGATGGTTATGTGCTAATCGAATACTCACAAGAGGATTTCATGACAACTATTTCTAGTCCATGTGTTTATTTCTCACAATACGAAACGGACCAAAAAAATATTATTCGCAAGTCATTTCTAATAGTAACTTTAGGTACATTAGGTACATCAAGCTTCTATAAGCTCGAAAATCTATAGGTCTTTACTTTAGAAATAGCCAACACCACTTATAGATGCAATTGTTCTTTCCCTCTATTACATTGACATGGACGATGTGACGTAGAAAGTTCTTACTTACATGTACCTTCTCAGTCCTAACTTAGGTACCTATTCCTGCGGAAATCTATACCATGAATCCAGGGGCTGGGTTGTCATTGCCCAACGGTGTAAATCGAGGCAATAGGCGTATCTACGTTTAACACATAGCTATGATGGCCTACCTAGTTACAGTATACTCATTCTCTCCATCAAAAACGAAAAAAGAAAACCAAATCAAAAGACGTCTACATTTTGTGCTGCTTTCTTGGGTCACAATGCCGGACACTTCGCCAAAATTTATGAACTATGCTTTCCTTTTTGTCTTATTTCTTATGGTTATCACGCAGCATATTCACGCTCGATCCGGTACGGACATAGCACTCAGATAGTCGACAGCTTCTGGCCTTTTATGGAATTCATTCTAATTATTTTATAGGTACAATTGATCCCCATCGTTGCCTAACTCTCCTGAATAATGGGACATGGTCGCCTTTGGCTCCGGACGGCTCTCGACGATGGGAACCAAAAGATTGTCGTATGGTTGAGCATACTGCAGACTCTCTTCACGAATGCCTCAATGACCGAAAAGTTGTCTTCATCGGCGATTCTACAATCCGGCAGCTTTTCTGGGCTGCTACCAAACAAGTTGCTCACCGCAAGTCCGAAACTAGGATAAAACGCCTACTTCAATCGAACGGCAAGCATCACGATATCTCGTTTCGAGCTAATAATGTCCAACTGGAATTTATCTGGGATCCCTGGCTAAACTCTACCGTCTTGCACGATGTGCTTAAGACCTTACACGCTCTACCTATGCCCCTAGACGTGGAAGCCATTGCGGGGATGGATGAATTGCCCCCTGTGCTCGTTATCTTGGGTGCCCCTGGACTCTGGGCTGCTCGATACGGCGGAGATGACTATCTAAACCTGTTTAAGCGAGCGGTCACCGGCGTCGTGCCATACTTATCACCTAGCTTTGACAACAACATATCACAGGCAATGAAAACGACTCATGACTCCGGCGATATCCCAAATCGGATTTTTCTAGCGCCAGTAGGAATCCCAGATTACAGCAACTTGGCTCCGAATCGGTCTAAGAGCATTACGCCGGAGCGGATTAATGCCATGAATAACCACCTCTCACAAGTCTTCCCTAATAATCTGTCGTATATTCCTTGGGTATACAACCAAATTCCCACCTCTTCTAAAAGCGATTTCGATATAGACGGCTTGCATGTGTCAGACAGTATGGCAGCACTCAAACTCAACATTGCTTTTAACGCACTTTGCAACTCGGCAGCAAGCGCCCGCTCACGCTCTTTCAAGGGCACATGCTGCGTCGTTCCTCTACAGAACTATCTTACTTTGATAGTCTGCCTTTTATTTGGAACTTCAACAGGGTTCGTGGCTGGTGCGCGCCATAACCTGGAGATCGCAGGTAATTCAGCAGTCGTTAAATTCGTCGAAACCCTTAGAAACATACTTGCTGCCCTCCTGTGGTGTTGGTACGCCGACGGGACCTACTACTTAATAAGAGCTGAACGCCATTATGAGCAAGGCATTTTCGTTGCAACTTGCCTTATATGGCTAGTGGTCAGCGTATTATCATTAAGGAAAGCCCCCCAGCAGACGGATGGTCCTTCATCGTCCAAACGTGATCCTCGATACTATCGTGGTCCGGGATACATATCGCGAAGTCAGTCTAATGAGATCAAAGGCTTAATGCAAGGGATTATCTTGCTCTATCACTATCACTATGCGTCTCAGGCTCTTTGGGTGTACAAGATCATGCGACTATTTATCTCCGGGTACCTCTACATATCCGGCTATGCTCATACGCTATACCTTCTCAAAACGAACGACTTTTCTTTGAATCGCGTCATAGAGATTCTATTCCGTTGGAACTTTCTGAGTGTCTCCCTATCGTACATGATGGGGACAACATACACGTCGTATTATTTTGCCCCCGTTATCACGTTCTGGTATCTTGTTTTATACGTGATGCTTCGTTTCTTCAAAAGCTACAATCGCGATCTGCGTTGGTTGCTTTTGAAAATAATGGTGACAGCTAGACTCACCAATTCGTTTATACTTACCCCTGGCATTCTTGAAGCTGTTACCAGATTCATACACGCTGTCTTCTTCATATCCATAGATGTAGAAGAAATGCGTTTTAGGCTGCGTCTAGACCGCTACATCACATTCATCGGAATTATTGTAGCGGCTCTTACCCATCGCGCCTCTGTTCGCAGAGAGCGAGCTTTCCTCCAACTTGGCTGCACTGGAGCGATGCTCGCTCTAAAATTCACACTCTGGCTTGCTATAATCTGTGTAGGGAGCATTATAACATTCTTCTACGTCACCCAAACCTATCTGCAAGAGAAGCAGACATACAATCAAATCCACCCATTCATATCCTGGATCCCGATACTATGCTTTATAGTGCTCAGAAACTCTCATCGCATGCTAAGAGATAGGTACCTTTTATTACCCAACCTCCTCGGCCGTATCTCGCTAGAAACATACGTCCTGCAGTACCACATTTGGCTTGGCGGGGATGCTACAGCAAAGCTTTTCATGGGATATTGGGAAGGCCGCTAGGGGCGGTTTGTCGAAACGGTGGTACTCACTATTGCATTCATCCTACTTGCAGCAACTACAAGAAACAGCACCAGAATATGTGCTCGCTGGTTGAACGGACGGGGGGCCTTGGTACTGCTTTCAGGGCTGTGGGCTGCAAACATTATACAGAGCGGAGTACTAAAATCGCGGGCTTGAATGTTATGGTGCGAATACGTGGTGTTGGCGGTATTGGGTCTGATGAACATAGGTGCATATTAGAAGGATCGGTGAAGCGCTATTTATTATAAGGAGATGGAGATACTATTATATGGATAAAGGGGCTTAGTATTATATATACTCATGTTGCTCCCCTATTAAATTTTCGTGCTCTGTTGTTCATTATGTAACCGTTATCTATCGGTTTTTTATTTATAAATCACGTTCCATGCCCATATGCCTTTGATGGGCCAGCAGTAGCACCTGCACCTTCCTCCCTTCACGACGACGATAAGAACAACGCGCACCGTGACTCACGTACTCACGTACTCACGTACTTACGTACCCATTAATCGTCCTAATCGGCAAGTACCTTAAACGATGGTAATTGCCGACTGCCTATCACTAAGAAATAAGGCTCGGTGGTGTAGTGGTAACACACTCCGGTTTCCTGAGGCACCCATAGAATGGGGGTGGTGCTTAGAGGTTCCTTGGAATAGAAATAGAGCGGGTTAGAAGGTGTTAGAGCCGAGGACGGAGTCTCTGGAGTGACGCAGGTTCGAATCCTGCCCGGGCTATTCTTTTTTTTTTCGTTTTTGTTCTTTCCATCTATATTTTTCTTTTCACTTTTCTGCTTTGAAGTAATTTTGCTTCCCATCCCTATCTGGGTAATGCTGACAACCCCCCTTTTCTTGGGCGTTTATCTGGCCTTGTATTAATTACACTTGGGATAAAAGGGGTAAAAGGGGAGGGTATCCTACATTTCTAATGGCCTTGCTCATATTCAAAATTAAAGCTACCTCCTCTAATATTTTCCCTTTGGATAAAGGTATGTAGACTACTACAGCGGTTATGATTTTATTACTAGAATTCCTAGCTAATACAGAGAGATTTATGCGCAACAACACATTAACCCCTGTGGCCTTGGAAGGCAAAAATAAAAGACTCCATTCCTCGTTCGTAATGCTATATTATAAACGTCCTCAAACACCCGTAGAGAAAACTTAACCAATCTTACCTTGCTTTCGTACTCCCGTTATCTTTTATATGCCCTGTATACCAATTGAAGCCAGTAATCATGTTGCGCCAACAACGTACTATGTAGGTGCCTATATCCAGGTAGGCGAGACTTCTAATTCCAATACCCATTGACTCTCACTCGCAGTCTTCCTGAATAACCTCGCCTATCAATCGCTCGCTCTATTCCACTCGCCTTCTGGTAACGTGCTCGACTAAGAGATGCTCCAAGCATTGCCGGTCTTCCTCGGACATCAGGGCCACCCGGTAGCCGTAGCACACGACGCGGACGGATTCGATGCCGCGCAGCTCAAGCAGCTCGAATATGCCGAGAGCTTGCGTTATGTGGGTTGTCTTTCGCAGGAAAAACCGACGGAAAAGGGCCTCCTGGCGCGTGAGGAATATGGTGGTGAAGGCCCCGATGACGACCGTCATGCGCGTTAGCGGGACGTGGCGTAGCGCGGCGAAGGCGGTGTCTGCGATGAAGCCGGTCCAGAGGAATATGATGCGCTCTAGAGAGGTGGATAGTAGGTCGTTGGTTGATGTGTGGTAGAGGATGGTGCAGGTGCACTGGAAGTAGAGGGCCTGTGGTGCGAGGTTAGGATCTAGTTTGCGGCTTGGGGAGAAAGGGGGAAGAGGGAAGGGGGAAGAGAGTTGTAGCATACCATTTTGCTGTACATATAAGTGAGAACTTCCCGGCTGAAGAACTTGGAAGTGTAAGCTAGATTAGTGTCGATAATACGACTTCGATCCCCGATCCAATACGAAGCGTCCAAGCCAGGGCAGCCACAGCCGAGATAATACGCTCCTCGGCGGGCATAGTCAGAGTAAATATTGGAACGGGGGACCGTAAGTACACGAGGCCATTCGAGGCCTAGGTAGTGCCAGTAGATGCGGTAGCGAACAGGTCGAGGGAGGGTTTGGAGTCTACTTTCCAAGGGCTCTGGGGGGTTGCCCGCTTCTCGGTATTAGCATTGGATTGAGTAAAGTACCTAATGTACCTAAATGGGAGAGTCGTAAGTAGACTTACATATCTGGAGTCGCGACAGGTCCATGATGGCGATGCTGATCAGATAATACTTCGACTTATAAAGCTAAGCGCGAGTTGCATCGCGATTAGCGATGATTAGACTAAGCTGGGTTATATACATAGTCTGGTGTCTGGCTTTGCGGTTGAGGTCCTTGGTATAGACGATATCGACTACTAAAGTTCTTCCTAGTGATATTTTCCAGCTCTGTTAAGCTAGAAACTTCGAGGAAGCAATAGCTAATGCGAGAGATGCCGAGGCGCACTTGAAGCTTGAACTTATCAAACATAGAAAAGGCAATTGCGGACATGATAGATGGCTCTTTCGTCGGGTAAAAATAATGCATGCATGGAATAATAAATAGTGCAACTTCGAGGCAAGAGTAAGTAAAAGCGGAAGGAAGATGGATGATAAAAAGAACTAAATAAAAATACTAAAAAGGGGTTGGTTGGTTGAAAAAAAAAAAAGATATACAAAACAAAAAAGCTCAGTCCCAGATTCGAATCCCCTCGGATAGGGGCAGAGGATTCGAACCCAAGACCTACGAAAAACCGGCTTCGTTAGGCATCTGCTGTCAAGTCACGTTCTTTTTATTAGGAAGAACGGTTCAGCATAAGACACCACAGTGGGGTTTTCTCTAACCTCAGGTCGCCCAGGCGAGGGGCGTCGGTTGACAGTTGGTTTGCAATTAGGATATATAACCTTTACTTCGTGGGTAGGTACTTTGGTAGATGTATCTCGTTGCCTGGGTTTCTGCCACCTGAGGGGTCAGGTGGCAGCGGCGACAAGGTGCGTGATGGTTAGTACCTAGAGATAGCAGCTGGTACTGCCATAAGTGTACAGTGTCAGTGTACCTACCTAAGAGGTATATACATACGTACACGGCATCAACGCCATAGACGAATTAGCGACTCTATCGATAATAATATATTACCACGAAGGCAATTCGCGGTTTATAGATAGCCTAGAACTTGAGAATTGTTTACTTTAATATCTACCTCCTAGGTATATAGGCACTCAGCCATGACCGCTACGCTGAGTGTTATTCGTAATTCATAAACCGCTTCCAATCATTACCCGCCCCAATACCTCCAATATACCCCTATCCCCCCAAACCCTGTTTTGCCTCATTACCCTCATAATATCCCCAACCTATCTTATCCATTCGTATCTCATCTCGCAATGCATTCTCCTCCAAGTACACCCGCCGACGCCGAACCGAGCCCGGCAAATGCAACCATGCCCCAAGCTACAGCCGCAGAATCCCAATCTGACTCGGTAGCCGGCAAGAGGTCTGACTCCACGGAGGATCTAGGCGAGAACATGGTAGGTCGATATGCTTTTTCGTCTTCGTGTTTCTTAGACACCCTTGGCCGTCCTCGTCTTCGCCCAGGAGTCACAGTTCCATCCTCACTAGGTGTGCACGAGCTCACAACACTTCCTATTCTGGATACACTTCCTACTCTTGACGTGTCTCTTACTCGTGACGCATTCCTCACTCTCGATTCATTTCTCACCCTCGACAAATCCCTTATCCTCGATGAACTTCTTACATTGGATTCGCTCCTTAGTCTTGACGCGTTTCTCAACCTTGACGAACTCCTTAGTCTCGATAGGCCCGGCCTACTTTGGCTTCTAAGAGTCATCGAATGTTCTGATGTGCGATACTCGGGATAATCGTAACCCCCCCTAATGGGGGTATAAGGACTATAGGGCGTACGAGGCATACGAAAGATCTTATCCTCGACGACGCGCCTAGCCCTGAGACGGAATTTGAAAGTCGGAATAGCTGATGCGATAATGTCTTGTACGCTTATAGCGCGTACAGCAGCCCACAGACCAAGGCTAATCGTGCAGACCAGAACATCACATCCAACAGCGTTTACGGCAGGGTGGTCGTAGAGGGAACCCAAAACCTTGCCAATTGCTGTAGTACTGCGTTCCCAGTTGGTACGCTCTTCAATATTCCACGGGAGAAAGACACTATGGCGATGATGATGGGAGTCGGGAATATTGTAGCAGAGTCCTTCAATGCTGGACTTTGCGTGCAGTGCGAAAGACACAACGGAAATGGTCCGAAATATTGTCTTGAGTGAGTCATAAGCGTCGTGAGGGTGTAAGTAGACGGTACCCCAGCTTACCGGCGCAATTGCCGGTAAGATAAGGGGTAAGAAAGTCGACGCTCGACCGAGATGGACCACATTCACAAACGAATGCGTGTCTGCAGCATAAGGAAGCAGAAATATTGAAAGATAATTCAAGGCTAACACCGTGAAGAGTATGCGAGGGCGCAAATGCCAATTCTTTGGTTTTGGAGCAATGACTTTGTCGCGAATCGAAATCAACGTCGAAAGGAGAGGTACGATTGGCATCTCAAAATTCTCGCTTCCTGGGGGTAGTGGCGACGGAGTCAAGAGAAGAGCAACGTAGAATAGATTCTGCGCAAACGACAAGCTGACAAGGTGAGCTAGGATCAGAAACGAAGCTGTCAGGGGGATATTTCGTCGTCGCCCCTCGATGGATAATAACATGCTAAACGCTACTGTCGCGAGATCAATCTGTTGCCCCCACCAGAAGCGACGAGCTTTCTCGGCGACAATCTCCAGGGCATCGTAGAAGATGGGAGTGTCACTCAACCACTGGGTGATATAAAGGGAGTTCGATCTCCTCAAGTCCCGAGGTGTAAGAACAAGTTTTTCGGTGAGGATATAGCTATATGTACATTAGACACTGAGATAACGTATAGAATTGGAGTAATAAGTGAATACCGTTCTCGTTGGTTGACGCCATGCTCATGCGCCCATGTCTTATACGACAAGACGGCCGACGCCACAGAGTTGTAAGTCGCCAAAGAAAAAGCCACGGCAGCAAGTCCGAGAAAGATAGGAACCAGTCTCCTGCGCTGCGCGTAACGCGATCGTGTGTCTTGAGCTGGACCTAAGGACTTATACGATGCATAGAGCCCAGCAGCGATTGCATACGTCAAGTAGACTATCGCCGTAAGATAGGTACCAACTACCGCCAGCGGAGTGTACCTAAAATCGATATTATTAACCAGTCCGCTCACAAATAAACAAAGCCTAACAATACATACCTCACCGGATGCTGGAACGGCATGGGAGACATAATGAAGCCAAAACTTTCCCAGATGAATTCCCGGCGACGAAGAGCGAAGCTAGGTAGGTAATTAATTACACGTAACCGTAACCGTAACCGTAACCGAAGGACTTGTAAGAGAGCTTACAAGGGTTGAAGTGCATCTCTATAGGTCGTCGCTTCGTGGCTGGGAGCTAGACAAGCTCGGGGGGGAACAACCGCGCAGGAATTAATTTGAGTTAATATGACGCCATGGTTTTTATTGCTATTGGATGAGAAATCGAGAGGTTTCAGCAAGAAACAATCCTGCGCAGGAAGTCGAAAAGCAACATTACCTAGGTACATACCCCGCGTAAGTATTTTGTTCGTATAGCTGAATAATATAGCGTATATGAATAACCGTATCAATGGAATGAGCAAAAAGGTGTAGGTACCTACCTAGGTATTTTATGAGATGCTATATTCAGTTGTGGTTTCACCAACCGCAGCGAGAATGGGTCGGTTTATGAAGGTTTTATAATCTTTATGCACTTGCTTTGCTGTATGAGAAAATTTTTGTGAAGTGTACCTAATATGCCTAATGACGATGACTGTTGTTGTCCTCGTTGGGTGCTGATGTGTCACTAATAATACGGATTAGTTTAGCTTGATATACTCTCAACTGTAACACCAGCTCATCTCTTACACTATCTCATCACATACCTGAGGTGTACTGTTCTACGTCTTCGAATGCATGTTTGCTAACTATCATAATATCATAATACCTAATTCCGCAAACGAATATCTTGAAATACTTTGGTTTTAATATTTTAATATTTTAAAGACCTATAATATTATTTACATGTAGCTGCCTTATGAGGTATGTATACATATGTATGCATTGTATTGAAGTCTCTATTCTGCAGGTACAGCGTTACCTATACTTATCCAGCCAATGATACCCCGTAGCCGCGCGCTTAGTTCATTCCGACTATACCTAACTGTCTAACCCATATAGGCTTAGCTTAAATATCATATCGCTGTATGTACTCACGTATTCCGTACATGTAATTTCGACAAGGCAGGCAATCAATCATTCCAAACCGAATCACAAGACGCATCATTGGCCAGCCCTTCTGAAACATTACCTCAAAGCTCTCCCGCGGGCTAACGTTTGCTTTCCCACTTAATCTAACCCATTCCGACTCAAATAACCACCCACCACCCACCATGTACCATCTCGCCAAGTCGCTGTACCTGCTCGCGCGGCGGCGGGAGGAATACTCTGTGATACTCCTGGGGCTGGACAACGCGGGCAAAACGACGTTCCACGAGCAGGCCAAATCGCTCTTCCTACCCGAGCACCCAGACCCCAAGCTCAAGACCGTGCCGACCGTAGGCCAGAACGTGTCCACCCTCACCCTGCCCGACATGTACCTCAAGATCTGGGACGTGGGCGGCCAGATGACCCTGCGCAAGCTGTGGCAGAGCTACTACGCCAGCTGTCACGCCATCGTCTTTATCATCGACAGCACCGACATCGGCGACGGGTCTCTCGAGCACGACGGCTCCGGCCGCCTTGATGAGTGTCGCCTTGTGCTCGAGGATGTGCTGCAGAATTCTGAGACGGAGGGCGTGCCGCTTCTGATATTGGCGAACAAGCAGGATCGCGAGGATTGCGTCGAGGTGGTGCGCATAAAGGAGGGTTTGGTGAAGAAGGTGTTCGAGGGCGAGAAGGCGTCGAGTATACGCGATTCCCGGGTGCTGCCGGTGAGCGCTCTGACAGGCACGGGCGTGAGGGAAGCGATTGATTGGGTTAGGTCGAGAGTTAAATGGAATAAAGAGTCAAGACCGCCAGTAATGAGGTGAGGGAAGGAAGGGAAAGGCTCTACATAACGTTGTGTTATTCGGGTAAAGTAGCCTTGGGTTGGTTTGCATTCAGCGTCATGGAACAGGCGTTCTAGGATGGGAGTTATCATTGAGTTCATCATGGGTATCTTTATTTTTGGGTCATCTGTGGGAGTAACCCCCGTCTGCTATCTCTCGTTCTCCGCGGACAGTTCTGCCAGGAGTCCGCCTTTGTTCCTCCGCTTCGAGTCCTCGGCTAGTTTCTGATCTAATAACGTCGAGAACTCCTTGACTTTGTTGAGAGCGACGCTTGCGCACTGGAGCAGCGTGGCCGCCTCTACAGGTGTGCCACCCAACTTTGCGATTTGGCATATTTCCCCGTGTCTGTTGAGGCTGATCGTGCAGCTAGATACCTTTAATTGTTCCTCTAGGAGATTTGCGTCCAACAATGTGATCTCTCCTCCTTCTCCATAAAAGCTAAACGTAACGCAAAACGGCGAATGCAGCCAGCTCAATGGCACAGGTTCTCGTTCGGCGGGAGTATATACAGTTAAATTCCCTCCTTCCATGCTTGTATCTGGTTTCCTGAAGTGGCGCAATGCTGCTACAACCGCGAAACACGAGGCGTCGATTAGATTACCATCGTGCGAGAGCACGTGTAGGTCAACTCTTATAGACCAACACTTTTGCCCGGCGACGAGACACAGCGACTCGGTATCGAGAGCATTCGATCGGCGGACGGTCTTTTCAAGTAGTCTCGATAATAGAACTTCTGTTTCTGTCGGTCGGTTAACTTCGAAAGCGGGCGATGCCATGGGGCTAAGTTCTGTCGTGATAGTGAAGATGCCGTCAAAGGGTCGGTCCGTGTAAGGTGTTGTGACTTCGGCCGAGACCTTGACAAGTATCCTAGTCACGTCAGTACTATTATAGAACATTTAGGCGTATATAAACTACCTTGTCTTTCCAAGAGTTACATCTGCGACTCCGTATTGGTCACCAAACTTGAGCTCGAGCTTTCGGTATTGGTCGAAGGCGCGGCCATCGATGCGCAGGCCCTCTTGTAGCGCCTGCACTACGAAAGCGCGCTCATTGAGTGAAGGTTCAGCTTCTCGAGGCATGGTGAAAGGGAAGATTATAAGTAAAAAGTGTAATTGTTATTATTTCACCTCATCATTCGTACTAATTCAAGTACCTAATGTAGCAGCAGCTTCAGCGAGATAGTGGGGTGTTTGGCTCTGTGCATATTCATGATTGAGAGCTTCAAAATTCATATGGAAATTCTGCCGGGCGGTGATCATATAAAATATGTACTTAGCCCATGCAAGATCGGGTCTTGGGATAGTTAAATGCCGACTCTGCAGCTAATCCTTTTATTAGTGGGACCGCGCATTGGAACTGGAGCCTCAACCTCCAAGTACCTGTAACAAACAACACTTAAGAGCTTCACATACCTCTTTATCATCTACAACTTCTCATTAATAGTAACGGGTTTGATTTCGTAATATAATCGAAGATGACTACAGCACACAGGCCTACCTTCGACCCGGTATGTTTAGCTTTTTCTTAGCTATTATTAAGAAACTACTAATTGTATATTAGGCACGTGGAAAGGAGGCTCTTCGAGGACCGGCCTACCACCAACGGCTCCTGCCTGCTCATACCCAGCTCAAGTTCAGACAACCCGGACAAGGAGGAGATGCCGACGAGTCCCACGACCTACGAGCCCAGCTTCTCGCCGCTGAAGCTGCCCACTTCGCGAAGCAGAACGGCGGCGCGCTTCCCGATGCCACCGGAGAGACCAACGAGACGGCACCCGCAACCAACAATGTTTCGAAGCGGCCGTTAGCATTGAATTCGGGGCCAAATGGAGACGGTGAAGGTGAGGAAGACCCAGAGGCGAAACGGCGGCGCATATTAGAAGAGTCCCGAGATATAGATGCGGATTCGGATTCAGAACAAGATGAAGATGATAGCGAAGAGGACAGCGACGATGATGAGGACGAAGAAGCAGAGCTACAGCGCGAGCTCGAGAAGATTAGGCGCGAGCGGGCTGAGAAGCGCGAGAAAGAGGAACGTGAGAAGGCTGCGGCTGAAGAAGCCGAACGAGAGCGGGATATTGCCTTAGGTAACCCGTTGCTGAATCCCAAGAACTTCAACATGAAGCGGAGGTATGTCAAATATCCACGAAGGCCTATTTTAGCATTGTACTAATTGACCTATTACAGGTGGGACGATGATGTCGTCTTTAAGAACCAAGCAAGAGGAACGGAGGACAAAGGCAAGAGAAAGGAGTTCATCAACGTACGTCTTAAAACTTATATCATTTCATTGCCGATAACTGACATTATGTATAGGATCTCCTGCGATCGGATTTCCACAAGCGGTTTATGAACAAATACGTGAGATGAGATGTATATTACGCCATGATACCAGCCTACGAACATATACCAAGGCGAAAGAAATTACCACTACTAATAGAGATTCATTATGAAAGAGACCTTTCCTTTTTCTTTTCTCTTCGTTTTTTTTTTATAAAAAAAATGAAGGAAGGGAACCGTGATAGAACAAATTTGCGCATCCTAGCTTTCGGCGATTCACAATCTTGGAACCCTAGGTACCTTGCTGATGCAAATAGAGATAGTTTGGTATCCGTGATTCATACCGGCAAGCTGGGGTGGGTGAGGAGGCCTAAGAAGAGGGTGCGCCTGCAGACACTCACGAGCATACTTCTCATAGTACATTAAGCTACGAAGCCTTAGGAACGAATTATAAAGCCCCGTAGGAGATTGAGATATTTTTGAACCATATGACCGTTGCGTATGGTAGGGTGGCGGTTGTTGCTATTGCTGTCCAAGTCATGCGACGCAACGTTAGGGATTTCTGCCTGCTGCTCATCTAGCTATTGAGGATCGGAATGGGTATAAGAAGTGATGCTCTGGCACTCTTTCTTATGTCTCATTTTCTATTCATAGCATTAACTACGGGGATTCAGTACCAGCATTCATGACGTCTCAGCTCACGGTAATGAGGAGTCTTTAGAATTGGAGTACACTGGCGCAGTTGAGCGCCAACATACTACCTATATCAATCTTAATAAGCAAAACTCAATCACAATTATTTGGTTTAAACCATACTGGTTTTTCGGACGAGAAGTACATTAAACTATATAAAAACCCGCCAAGAAATCTTATAAGAATGTAGCAATTTACACGCTGAGGCTCATTACTCGATAGAACGATTCGTCGGGTCATCTTCAACCCAATTACTACCCAATTTCACCTTGTCTTTTTAGGCTCGGAAACACCGTTTACCCCGCCCTGTCTACGGCGATAAGCACTCAGAGTGACATCTACCTTTTCCAGGGCTCCTATCGCCGTGGTTATGGTTCTAACGCTATCATATAAGAGAACTGACAAGTAGGGTTAGCCATGGCTTCTAATTTGACTCGTTGAAAATCCTCTGATTTGGAAAAACTGACCTGCCGGGATGATGGCCCACGGTAAGTTAAACCCGACGTAGTAAATCCAAAAGTATTGGGTTTCGGGCCGGCTGTGGGAGCGGCCCGTGAAGTAAGTTTCGAAAAGGCATGTAGCGTAATATAAAGCCACGCCGTATAAGTGTGCTATGCACACGACAATGCGAAGCGCATGTCGAGTAGGGCTCCCTCGAACGATAGCAACGGCGTTAGCGAAGCAGAGAGGTCCCAAGACAAACTGTCACTCATAATAAGCATTCGATGTCATACTATAGCGTTTGTACGCTGAAGCTTAGTTAGGCCAGCCCAGGTTGCTACTCACCATCGTAAGACTCTCAATGCTCAACATGAAGAAGTCGGACCGTAGGTAACGCGAGTCCGACAGCGCGTATTCCTTCCACAGCTGGGCGAATACATTTTGTGACGACGCAACGGTGGCGTGATTGAAGACGAAGTATCCTTGAAAAGACAGACTTAGTTAAATGATCTTTTAAATGTGAAAATCATATTCTGCACGCGCATTCTTTCTATCGTCTGTATGTAGACTGGGACTAGATAGCTGTACAGTGGCGTAAAGTAATAAACTTACCTTCGAAGAAGCAGTGCAAACACCCGTCTATAGATACAGATCAAGTTAGTAAACAGGAGACCTAATTAAACATAAGAGCATAAGTTCAGTAAGCGACTTACTCAGAACAAACCAGCAGAACCGAATCAAATTGGTCTTTGTCAATTTCGGGTTTACCCTTAATGCTATCGCAGAAGCCCCTAAGAGTGCAAATACCAGCATGCCACTCAGTGATACTAGCAGCACAGGGACAGATGCTTCATTAGATGCGTAACCCGGGATAGTCACACCTAAGGGATAATACGGATGTAAAGGCTCGAAGTTCACCTCGATCTCAGGCGCGATAATCTCAGGTGTGGCGATCTCGAGCGTGGGCACGGGCACAGGCTCCTCCAACACGGGTTCCGACGCGGGTTCTTCCACGGGCTCAAACACAGGCTCGAACACGGGTTCGGGCTCAGGCTCAGGTTCGGTCGCGGGGGAGGCATCTCTGCCTAATAACGACCGCCAGTCGATGTTTAAAAGCACCCCCGCCATGGTCGGAAGTGTTAGCAGTATTGATTTGATATAAGGTAATTATCCGGTTGATCGAATGCAGGAACCACCAATTTAGAGATGCTTAGAGGTATGGAAGCCCTTGTTTTTTTCAGGGGTGATGTTTGTTGATAAGATTGCTTGGCATTTCAATGACATACCATAAGCGTCATCGGCTCCGAGACCCAGCTAGTTGGGGGGTTCAATTCTCAGTCTTTTATGTATAAAATCAAGCTTCTTCCTCCTACTAATGTCTGGCGCATTTTGTCAGCTTCTAACTACTAGAATAGGTATATATCTCACTAACCTTGTAATCAGTAGATTTATTTTTAAAAGATAAGATTGATTTTCATAGGTTTTAGGAAGAATAATACCATCGCCTAAATTCGGTCCGTGCCAAGATATAACACCGTCCGAAGTTATACAAGCACAAAGTACAAATCAGATGAAATGACAGCCCTCATTGAAGTATCGCTATCATGGCTTTTTAAGAACGCAAAGGGCCATGATGCGAAAAGCTTCTTCAAGGGACCCGCCTTCTCCGACTTTCAGGACAAGCAGGAGATCACCGTCACAGCGCCGGAATGCGGCCCCACCAACTCGGTGCTCGGCGTCGAATACACGCACGACGGAGTAGGCAAGTTCCCTGCTTTGCGGTGGGAGGCGCCTTCGCATATTGCAGACCAAGTGAAAGAGTGGTTACTAGTTTCGGAGGATCCAGATGCGCCTTTGCCAACGCCTATCTGCCACGGGTGAGTGTTTGAGTAAATCTATACGATCTTAGCAGGGTCCTAGATACGGGCCTGAGACTGAATTGCAACAGTATCTACGGAGGTATCCCGCCTACGAAGACAAGCGTTGAGCCGGCCGACTTCGAAGTCGAGGATCCGAGCAAGGCGCTTCTTAAAGGCGGGTTCCATTACGGACGGTCGAGAAACGGCAGGGTTTACATTGCGCCTCGGCCACTACTGAATCACGGACCGCATAGATGTAAGTAGGGGTTCTCATTCCGTTCATCGTTCATCTGAATGCCTAGACGTAACTTCAAGGCTAACTTCTCGTAGATTTCTTCGAAGTCATAGCATTAAAAGAACCGTTAGATCCTAGCTTGTTAACTGCGACAACGACGAGGGAGCAGATTGGTGAGGCTATCGTGGGGAAGATTCTAGGATGGGGAATGTGGGTAGGAATCGCGGAAAGAAAGTGGGAGTAGAGGGGACATTTCCCCCTTTTTTAGTTTAATTGATAGTATGATGAATTTCAAGCTCACTCTATGATGTATGTTGCTGACAAGATGTAAGAAGAAAGACTGGAAGGCGCCTAGCTACATGTAGGTATATAATAATGTATGTAAGTACTATATTCTCGTACTGTATGTAGAAAGAGCGGATGGTTGAGTGGATACCTCTAGGTTAGGTTATAGGTAATGGCAAGGATCGGCACCGAATTGTTGCCGAAGCATGGATTGGCGTTAAACCTTAAGCCCTCTTATATCCGTCTTTCGGATTCTTTATGTATGAAGCTGTAGCCGGTCGGCTATCTATCTTGTGCCTCATTGATCTTGCTCGTCCAACAGCGACGCCATTTTTAATATTTTTCGGGCCCGGTAGATGTGACATAGTGTGGTGCTACCGGAGCCGTAAAAACATCCGCGCCAATGCCGGAGACCAGTGAAGAAACACAGCCGCTTCATGCGATGTCTAGCCGAATAAAGCGAAATACGGCTTGCACCAGCTGCCGAGATGCGAAGGTATGTTTTAGCCCTCGCTTGACTTGAACCTTTAAGTACCTAACGTTAATCCTTCTCATAGGTCCGCTGCAACCCCAGCCATAATCCAGCCCAACCGTGCCAGCGCTGTGCCAAGCTTCACTTGACGTGTGTCGTAGATAAGACTCACAAGAGGGTGAGCCGAAAAAGGTAGCCACCTTCTCCTTATTCTATATCGGCTTACTAAGTAGAACAATAGTAAGTTGGACGAGCTAGTCCAGGAAATTCAATCTATCAAGCAGAGTGTTAGTGGACAATCAGCCTCGTTACCGAGCCAAACAGCAGAATTCTCTCCACAAAATGAGGTCCTCACGCCCCTTAAAGAGTCTGTTCCACCACGCTTAGGGGTTCCATCACCAATAAGCGTCTCTGCGGACGTAGAAGGCAGGGCTCCTGCTATAGTAGCTACGACAACCAGCACCACAGTTGCTCCCTCTTCAGTAATACATACTCCCGCCAGTATACCACTCATCCAGGGCCCAGCCGCTGAGCCCGCACTTCCTAGAGCTCTTGGATCACAGCCATTTTCTGGTGAAGATGTTGAATATTATTTTCAAAAGTGAGTACATTGCCACTATGGACTAAAAAATATAAAATAAAATAACGTATCTCTGATACATGAAACCTAGATATTTTGAGCATTATCATCCCTATATGCCAGTCGTACGGCACAAGGACCCAAATAAATGCTACGATACTAGTCCGTTGCTTTTTTGGACCATCATCTACGTAGCGACACGCCGCTACGCTAAAAACTCAACAATCTTTCCCTTCATGCTAGATTCTATTAAGCGGGATGCCTATTCAGCCATTGCTAATCCGCCCCTCCCCTTACCTTCAATAAATGCCCTCATCTTGCTTTGCACCTGGATCTTCCCAGAGGTACGGTTCGTGAACGATCCGTGCGCACTATTTTCGAGCATTTGTATGAGTGCAACTGCTCAACTGGGAATCCATTGTGGGAAAGGGGCTCATCCGGAATATAGCCATGGCGTCTTCCAGAACAACTTCACAGACGAGGAAGCCTCGTTTACGTGGGCTGGGTATAACATAATCTCTCAAAGGGTGTCTTCATTCTTAGGGCTCCCGCCTCTGGGCTGCCTATTTAATCAGACCATTCAAAATGTTATCGATGGCAGGATACCGTTTCAAGTTCCTTCAAACTTTCGTATTCTCCTCGAATGCCAGAAATTCTGCAATCATGTTAGTAAGACTATGTCGGCCAGTCTAGAAGATGCACGAGGGGTTTCGTCAAAGCTGGTTCAGCTCCTTGAAGACGAGTGGAACGCCGTAAGAGGACTTATATGCTCTGAACGCGCAGGTATGTATCTCATCCCCAACGAAGCCCCAAGAGCGCGCGTATGACACGGCTATATTATTATATTCTAGAGGTTAACTATACATAGGCGACCTCGATCGATTCAACGCGTTGCTAGTACAGCTAGAAATACAAACGTACTATATGATGCCCCTTCCGGGCTACAACCCGGACGCATTGAAACGCAACATACTGCGAACATATAATACAGCACAGGTTGTGATCCACGAGTCCATCGAGCTAGACAACAAAGTGCAGTTCTTGCGGCATATACCACACTTCCATCTCCGGGCGCTCGCGTCTGCAGGATGCATCGTATACCGAGTTCTACGGTCATCATATATGTCTTTCATCGACCGCAAAGCCGCCGAGCGGTCGGCAGCCGACATCATCACTGCGGCCCGGCGTGCTAGTATCATGGAATCCGACTTGCCTATGCGCCTCGGAAACCTCCTCGAGTCCTGGTCTGACTGGCTGCTGGCGCATGGGGACTCCGCCACCACCCAACTGCAACCGCAACCACAACTACAGTGGAGCGAGGAGCCCGTGTCGGCGTTCTCGCACCGCCTCAGTGCCAGCGTAACTTTCGACTGCATGACCCGCTGGAAAAGTGATCACCGCCACAACGCCCTCCGCTGCAAGTGCCAGCCCTCTGGTGCCTCTGGCGCTTCTGGCACCACTCCAGCACCCGGTACTGCTGGTGGTACGAACGGCTGTGAAACGCCGGCTACTATGGCAGGAAGCGCCGATGCCCTGCAGAATATAGATTGGACATTCATGGACGACTTCGATTGGAGCTTTGAGCCTGTGATGCCGGTGCTGACGGCACCGACGTGAGGGCATGACGCAAGAAATAGGCGGTATGAAAAAAGATAATGTAAAAACAAAGCAAGCAAGAAGACGTAGCTGCTCGTATTTTGGGACCGGCGTACATGAGGTGTTATGCAAGTGTATAGGGTGAGCATCTACCTGTTAAGTATGACGATCTAAAAGAAGATTGAACGCGGGTATTAAACCGAAGGCGAAAGGGGAAATGCCAACTAAGAATTTAGCATACATTCGCATGTATATTATATCATGCCATTCATATAGGTTTCACAGTACATATGAGGCCACTATCTTCATTAGTTTAGAAGTAGAGAATAAATAGCAATAATAGCAGACTCACTCATTGTACCCTTAACTTCATGTGACTCTAGTGACTGTGTTCTCTAATCTATCACCACCACGATACTTGGTTGCCTCGGTCTGTATCGCCGTATCCTCCCTTATATAGTTCTAACGAGTATCCCGACGTGTGTGCTTAGCTTCCTGCCTTTTTATATTTCTCAAAGTCTTTCCGAAGGGCTTTCAGATCGTTTTGTAAGGTAATAATCTCGGTCTGCAACATTTTGATGTCTGGTTGCGTTGACGACTCGTTGGTGGGGTGAGGTAATTCGCGGCATACTTGAGAGTGAACGTGTCTCATGAGCTTATTGCGCGATCGGAACTGCTTGCCGCACTTGTTGCATTTTGTGCGTGACTCGATAGGTGCTGTTTTGGCTGGCGATGTCGGCTTGACTGGCGAGGTCTCGCTAGGTGGCATCTAAACAGGTAGTAAAGGCGTATGTTCTACCACATAAAATCGATTTTATGTGATTCCTAGAATAGTGGTGCCATCGTTGTTGAGTTGATTATTAGGATTGCAGGATTAGGATCTAGCTATTGTTTACCTATATATGCGTACGATGCAGGCAGTAACTGCCCGAGTTACTGTAGCTAGGGATCCACAACTGCACTACTTAATCAAAAGATGAATATATAGCCAAGTATAGGATCCATATAGGGGTACTTAATATACAGTATAATACACTCAAGGGGGATATCACAGCGCTAGTACATGATCCTCGCAGTCTGCCCGCTCTAGATATAACACGACATCTCTTCTCTTACAAGCTTTTCAACTCTCATCTTTCACCCAGCGAGAATTAAGACCCATCCCCTCTTCGCTCCGCCGCCCCTGACGTCTCACCGATATCCGCAGTCAAGCTGACCCCGCCCCAGTCCACACTGACATTTTCGCTCGTGAGAAACCACGGTATGTTGTCGTCGTTATCGGACGTAAAACATGGGGCGGGCATTTCCGTGGGGATCTGGTGGTTGTGGGCGTCCATGTAAATGCCTGGGAGGTTCCAGCGGTCGACTGTGAGCGGCGGGCGTTTGCTGCTTTGCGGTGTTGCCGCATGGGAAGTTACGTTAACGCGAGGCGAGCCCGTGCGATGCGGTAGATCTAATCCCTGCCCTGGGAAAGCCACGCCGTAGCCCGCGACGCCGAGGCCGGGATGTGACGGCGTGCCGGCGGGCATAGGGCCTTCGGGGGAAGGGTGTGTTGAGGGATTGGTTGATACCCGGTCTGGAATATTTGCAGCCCAGGGTGAATCGTGGTTCTCGGAATGGCTATCTATAGTGCTGGCACCGCACGGTTGAGTGGTCCGTTTCCGTTTACTGTGTCTTATGTAGTTAGAAGACCGATCTTCGAACGAAGACAATTCGTTGTGGTCTGTGATCCAAGTCCCGTGCTCGCATTCCATAGACTCCTCGACAATAACTTTTCCCATAGGCTTCCCGAGAGGTAGACGGCCCGGCAGTGGTGGCTGAACTTGAGAATGACGTGATATCTTGGATCGAGCGAGCAGAGGTATATTCTGCGAGATTTGATTCCTGTAATCGGGCCCAAGGTTATCGAGACGAGACAGTCGCACAATGTTTCCAACTCCATTCCTCTCTATATCAACTACTACTTGGCGAAGGAAAGCCCGGGTGATGGAATGGTTCTTTCCAAAAGCCTGCATAGCTGCGATGATAAAGTCGAGGTTTTCAATATTGGTGGGCGTCTGTGTTTCTTTGCACAAATAGACATAGACTGAGGCTGCACAATACAGCGATAACGCAGCTAGTGGGCTCCTCTATCGTGGTATTAGCAATAGTTGGATACATCTCATCGATTTGACGCGTTATTTACCGGTCCTGAATTCACATGGCTACCTGTCAATTTCATAATGTTGACAATTTCCTGCGCAGCCGTGCTCAGGCGATCGTGGCAAATCTTCTTAGCACTCTCTGGTAATTTGTAACTCTCTATCGTCTCGATTGCGGCGTGATGCAAGCAGATAATTGATGCATGCAAGTTAAGATTTGTGTGCACAGCGATCGGGTCACGATAGTTATCTGGTAGTCGAAAAGACCCTGGGAGATACATAAACGCGCTTGAGAGTGTGTTGTCAAGCTCACGATGACGCTGCCAATATTCGCCATACTCATAGTTATCAGGATTATCTGTAGGCTTCGGCCTGTGGACGTGCTTGAGGATTTGATTGAATCTTGATATTATTATTAGCAGACCGTAGATACTCGAGACGATGTGGCTCTGACATGTGACAAACTAAGATGGCTCCTGCAAAGGAAGAATACGTCTGCCCCTTAAGGGCATTTTGAATATTACATGTTTCTACTTTCTCGCCGCTTAAAAAAGCAGATTCCGGCTATAAAGCCTCCAGTTAGTAAAATAATATACGAATAGAGAGAACAGCGGCAAGGGGTTTTAAATTTTTAGAAACGGCGCCAGGTAGCTTAAGTTTCTGAGAAGTTCTACTGTACGCGGGACTCTACGAGAATGGCGTGTTGACTCACAGCAGGAAGTAGAGTTGTAATCTAGGATGCGCATTAGTTGCAATTCTAGCTTGATTAGTTCTTTTTCTTACATCAGAGGAATCGATAAGAAATGGCCAGCCAGTTGAAATGGAACAATGGCTGTCGATGCAAAAAATTCCCCAAAAAACTCGTCGCCGTTCTTCTAGTTCGGTCCAGTCTCTTGGGGGTAATAAGGTTGGACATATCTCTTCCGCGCTACCGTCGAGTCGATGAAGGCCCATCATTTGGACGAGGCGAACCCCTCTAGAACCGCTCATGGCTGCTCGGGTAAACAGCATACATTTGGCCTCGTATGTGGCTATCACACACCACGCTTGGGCATGGGCAACTGTAATGAAATGCTCACCGTAGCCCTTCCTGCAATAAGTACGAGTATAGAGATTGTGTTTGGGATATAGTGGCTTACTTTTAACTCATCCGACTCGGCGTACTGTCGAGCACGACGATAAAATATATCATGGTAGGCTCCATACTTGGGATTACCGTGTGCAGCAAGTGCCCACACTGCGTATTGGAGACACATGGGCGGCTTCATGTGCGGCGCAGAATAAAAAGCTTGTAGATAGCGGGAGGGATGGATTATGGGAATTATGTGTCCCTGACGCTGAAAGAAGAGCTGATTTCTATTATCATGAGCGACCAGATATTGGTTTCCCCGAACAAGGATAACTCACAGGTCTTCCATCATCTCAAAAGGGGGTAAACTTTCGAATATCCCACCGAGGTCAATAAGGTCGCCTATAAAGGGGTTGCTGTCTTGGCCTTGACTATCTAAGTTACCGGTCGAGAACGTAGCCGCCGGGTCCTGTTGAAATGAGAATGTGGTGTCATCGTCCAAGGAGGGGATGGGGTTCGTGAAATCAAACCCCTGAAAGAGAACATCCTCAGCCCCTGGCAAATCAATGGACGGGGAGTTAACTGGTTGCGTAGTCTCATCACGCTGCGAACGATTGTGGTTTGTTTCCTTTAGAAGCACTTCAACTTGAGCTATGCGTACATGTTAGTCTAAGTCTCGCGTCTTTAAGGGGTATCAGGCCATAGTTACCCAGGCGAGCCTCGAGTTCTTTTACATTCCTCCGCTTGAAGGCTGGTTTTCTTCGGGCTTCAGGGAAGATGCATTCAAGCTTAGCTTTCTCACAGCGATTGCAGCGAGGTTTTGTGCGATCACATTTGAGTTTTCGATTTCTACATGATAATAATATGAGTTACAGGGCTGAAATGTGGCGGCCGTCAACCAACAGTACCTGCATGACACGCATGACTAGCTTATAGTATTAGCATATCTAACGCCTTCGAACAGGGGGTGAGAGAATGATCATCACCAAAATTTCTCCGGGCTGAGCCGTTTCAACGGAGGGTTCATCCCCGGCCATCATATCGATGCGATTGACTCATTTAAAATAAAAATCTAACTTTAGTCTTTTCGCATTTAATTCTTGTGTATATAGATAGGTAACTACGTCGCTACTAAACGTGATAAATAAGGTTGAACGACCAGGCATCCGAATAAGCATCCGAATAGGCATCCACCTAAAAAAGGGGGTCAAGGTAACATGGAAGGCATCCGTGCCCTTTCGTCAGACCCGAAAGACGGTCCGGGTATCAAAGTTTCTCCGAAACCCGATAAGCTTCAACCCCGATAGCTCCGTGCCTTCATGCTGCGCAGGAACGGAATTGAAACAACATCACTTAAGCTTAGATAAGACTATCTTACTATACGTTTCTCCATTCTCAGCTAAATCGCATCTTGTTTCGAGATACTCCAAAGCACTTGTATAATACGGATTACATAATATATAATATATAATATATCGTTTATTGCATGAGTCTACTGTTTACTGAATTTATAGTGGGAACTATTATCGCCAAATGCGTTCTCTTACTTGATATTCGCCTATACGTATACGAAAATAACCAGATATGAAGACGCTACCGATGAAACGGAAGCAAGGATATTGTATCAGGACTCCTTTTTCCTTACTTACATCTTTTGCGTTTTACCTTCTCTCCTAATATGGTTAGCTTACCTAGAGTCTGGCTAGCAGGTTGACTTACTCAGCTTGACCGCCACCATTTTCTCAAGTCACGCTCTATTGTATGAGTATATGAGTATACTCAGAAACATCTTATTAAGAAACATCTTATTAAAGGAGCAAGCGTTCCTAGCACATAGCCACTTGCTTGCATGCGTACGATTCCTGAAACACAAATCAGCAAGCATAGTAATACTAGTAAACGACCTGTCACATAGCTACGTGTCCACGTATCCATGGATCATAGCACGATATCCACACATTCTATATTGTACGTATCCGGCACAGACTTACCTATGTAGAGCCCACGTCGCCACAGAGGATGCATGCTCACGTACGTATCCTGTAAGCTAATACGTAAGTACGTCTGTCTGTTACTCAGTCTTGCAATACCGTCATGTAATAAGGGGACGCTGTGGAGTACTCGGCGCCAATGGTAGATATTCGGTACTACTAACTGGGACGCCTAAGCAACTCAGGGATTTTTGTATTAAATGTAGTCCCTGTGGATCCAAAGAGCGTCTAAACTGTCAAGTGCACACGACAGCTTGAAGCTGATTTGGCATGCATGCATGCAGATAGCCCGTACAGTGCTAAAGCATACCGGCTAATACAGACTATAAGTTCCTAGTTGTCGGTAGACGACAGTTCCGCTGCTAGTAAGAATGGATATAGCTCCACTGACGGAGTGACAAGTGCAGATCCTTTTAGATCAAGGTCGGCATTCGTTGGGAACTTTAGTAAACAAGAAGAGGAGCCGGTGTCTAGGCTAGGCCAACCAAACTATGCTAGCAGTGAGGCGACCCTCGCCTTAGCCTATGATAAGCGCTTGGTTCTTTCACCATCGTAGGTGCATCCTCAAGTCTAAAATGGCTCCGGAGGCCCAGACGCGCGGTAGGAGCCCCGGAGACCTCGGCATAGAAGCGCAAACTAATGTAGGATAAAGACGAGGACACCTTAGACTTCCTTTTGACAACCTATTATTTTGTTCCGGGGTACATCCCGTCCTATATGTCGCCGGGACGACCTCTGTCCCAAATACTCGGGTCGTCCTTGAACCTACGAAAAATACGCTAGCACCGTTGGAACTTAAGAGGGTCTGGATGGGGACGGGGACGGGGATGGAATCCGAGGTAGGGACGAAAGTCAAACGGATATTTGGTGGTTAAGCTGGTAACGTCGGTCGACAACTCTCTTGTGACCGGGTAATTTAGTCCCTACTTTAACAAAAATAAGCTTATCGGAGTGCTTCCATACTAATTCATATAATACGATGCCAAGGAGACGAAATAAACTCGGTAGATATACCACACCTTCTTCCGAAATAGATGATTGATGAGGGCTACGAGCTAGGTACTTGACTCTTGGGATATAGGGCACGACATGCTTAAATATAATAAATGTGATGATGCAGCAAGGTGTGTAAGGATATAGAAAGAAGAAGAAAAATACCTACATCCTTAATGATGTACCTAGTATTCTAGCAACCCCCACGTATGCTTGCTGTATGGCTAGAGGTTAATATGTTACGGGTGTGGTATGATAACAGGAACTAAAGAGGACAAAACAGCCTAAGAGACAGATGTATTCATGTAAGCCTTGCCGTAATATATACGAAAAGCACGCCATATTACAGCGATTGTTTGTTACCAGCGAGCGATAGAATTGGATGTCATTGAGTTTATGAAGCATGGCGGCCCATGAGCTGGCAAGCACGCTTGATAAGACTTTGGTGGGTTGAACCCCTAGGAACACGACAAACTTTCCTGCTAGTCGGTACATTTAGGTAATCTAGCGAAAGCTACGTATGTAGGTTTCTTACCCGTCTCATGTTACGTAGCGTACAATATAGAACAGTTCAAGCCAGCAATCCAAGCGCTTGGCAACCCTACTCGTCCAGAAAGCGACGTGGTCAAATTTGTCAAAAATGATTACTAGGTAGGTGTTGACCCCCTTGTTGAAACCTTAGCTACCTCGTTGCTGCGAATATAAGCAGCAGCTAAGCGGTGAGGGGATCCAATGGCATATCTAATATATGGCACTTGCATTGTACATGGTGTTGGGAAAGGAGTACTCGATATTGCAACTGGGACTAGGCGAATGTTGTCAGGGGTACGACGACAAGACATTATAACCGTTACATATAACCGTCTTTTCTCCAGCGCGGCTCAAGTGAGATGTTTCAGTTGTCATCATCAATATCTAAGACCCATCGGAAAGGTTCGAGACATTACTAAAAGAGGGGATTCCTTGCCCCCTTGCCCCCTCCCAAAAGGTGAAGAGACATTGACTTTGTTTTTTGTCCGAAGAGAGCGCCATTATGTCTCAAGTCAAGCGGACCGGCCGGAGATCCGTGCTACGGCTACTACCTACATTCGGTTGGCGAGTTGGGGAACAAAGAGTTCGTTTTAAAAAATTAAAAAATACTTCATCCGAGCTATGGGCGAGATATATCAGATAGCTCCTGGCGTAACTTTCCATATCGCTGTTGTATGTTTACGTGGTTAATGGACGGAAGCGAGAGGGGTAACACTATCCCAGACTAAGACACTTGAGATGTCATACTAACGTACACTAGTTTTGCCCACCCATGATAATTGACTATGTAGATACATAGGTGCTACTACATACGTAGACGGCAACCTCCGTAGTTGATGACTGAGCAATGAGCATCGAGACGGGGCTCACGGCAATATTGGAAACGAATCTGGCCAGAAGCTCCATGATGGGGTGAACCCATGTCTAAGTAGCATGAAGAATGCATATGTCACATTCGTCTAGAATAGATTAGATCCCGTCACTCTATCTCGTCAAACGGGTATTTGCTCTGTCTTCCAGCTCAGGGCCGGGCAATCCTCTGGCTACCAACCCAGTGGTGCTTTGGCCACTGCATGACTTGGACCGGCAAGACGAACAGATAGGTAGATAGCACGACGTCTGCTTATAGCAGAAGAAGTGAGCCCATTTTTCGGGTTCACAGCCTTTTTGGACTGAGCAAAGGACGGAACGTACGTCAGCTGTTCTGCAACGTCTGTCGTCATCCGAATCCGTCATGGAAATATGCCTGCCGCTAAGTGATAATCTGGGTTAACTGATGAAACTGTGCGATGCGGCGAGATTAGGTGGCCGTCACGATGAGTTTGGTAGCCAACGGATTTCGAGAAAAGCATCCTCCCACGCCCACGCCCACGGGCATCTGCATTTAATCTATCGATCGGAAGGGCGGTATGCAAGGACAATATATTTTCTTTTCTGAAAGGCCAATGCGGGAGCTCCTGCATCTATCTTGGTTACCAAAGTAGATCTCCTATAACACTCGGAACGGGCCCCGGCTTATGGCTGGATCCATGGCTGTTCACCGTGCTTCTTGGTTCGGAAACGATCCGTAAAACAGGTAGATGCATATACATTTGGCCCGGTAAACGATATTAAGGAATAGGATGTATTTCTATCATCCGGATAGTGCACTTTCGACTTGAGGCTAAATTTGCACGTACGGCGCCATACTTCCACGTATCCTTCGCTTCCATGATTAGGTAGAACTTCCTAATCAATCCACGGTAATATGTAATATACAGCTTGCCGCCCCTTTATTTTGTAGCATTCGAAACCGTCATTTCTCTTAATCTAATGCTCCCCCCAAAACGCCTATTATTTTTTCATTCCCGTACCTAAGCCATGCCCAATACCTATTCCAAATTCCCTACACAAAAAATGCTGTTAGAATAAGAAGTTGTCGTGGACCGGCCTGCGGGAGCCAAGCGCCCGCGAGATCGAGGCCGGCCTTGATTAGACAATAGAGTGTTGGTGGTAGACTCTTGCTCTTGTGGTGAACTCTTGCGCGGCGTAAAACCCCAAAACCTGGTAAAGATACCTAGTAATAATACAATAAATATGATCTCTCGTAAGGAAGCACGGACACCTCATATGCTATCCCGTTTGTTGCCATTGACTCTGCGCCGTTTAGTCGACTCTGATTCAACGTCATCAACGTCACGAGTTGCACCAGCCTCTTCATCACTTAGGAGTCTACCGTCCGGGTCGTAATCGGCCTTTTCGGTCGAAGGTATTAAGCCGCTATCTGCGCCGCGCACGGTCGTAGCGCCAGCCTCGGCACGAGCGTTGTTGATCATATTAGGTAGTTGCCGTCGTCTCGCGTTGATAAACCAGTTCGATATTTGATCTGTTATGAATGCTTGGTTAATTATAAAGTATGAAGTCTAGTCTAATAACTCTGATCGTCTCTTTACGAGACGGCAGAATTAGTCGTAATCTCAAGAGTCGGGATTCAACGTTTCACTAAACTTACTTAATTGCAAACCGGTCTCTGTCATCAGTTGTTGCTTTTCATCCTCTGTTGGGTACGGATGCGATAAGTGGGAGTGAAACCAGGCGCGGAGTTTATCTGTCGTCTCTTTTGGTAGATTCCCACGACGCTTTCGCTGCTTGCCTTCGTAGTTTCTCCCAACGCCGAGTTCGCGGACGGGCATGTAGCTATCATGTGATTGGTGGCCATACGTGGCAGGCGAGATCACTGGAGAATATAGCGATGGCCTGTCAAAGATATGGGCCGATCCCACAGAAAGAGATTGCCCTCGGTTAGGATGATGGTAATTGTAGTAGTGGTGATTGGTAGGTCGGTGTGAAGCTGGCCTTATCTCTAAACCGTAGGTGTTAGTGCTCATGTCTTCTGGGGTTCTCGTTCTTCTCTGAGTTTCTCGAATATAGTCGTCGCTCGGCAGGCGTGGGAACGGTTCAGTTCTATCTCGAGCGAGATTTAACGTGGATAATTTCGATAAAGCTGTTTGATGCTCTGCTTGTTCATGATGTCCTGGCTTTGTGATATATTGTTGGAGAGTGCCATCGCCAGTTGGATGGCCAGCTCGGGTTGGCTTGCCCCATGCTCCTATATCCGTCCTATAATCAAGGGGTGGTGATACCGAGCGATAAGGGCTCCTGTTCGAACTGTTTAATAGCCTTGGAACCGAGTTTGTTCCCCCAACGTCCCTCCCACTCCCGAAGTGTCTCTTCTGATAGGCTGGCGAATGTATGTACTCTGGGGGCGTTGTCTCTCCATTGGAAGACCATCTAGCAGGACTAGTTACGGAATATGGTGTCGTAGCCACGAAGTTTTGTTTTTGCTGTTCAAATTCGGGGAAAGCCTACTAGTCGGTCAGCAATAATCTCTAATCAGACGTGGTAGATTATACCTGACGAATAGACGGTAGGGAAACCTTTTCCCCTTCCCCAGGAAATTTATTAGGACGAGCATCCATCCAAGGATAATCCGAAAGGCCAGAATAATAGGGCGGATAGATTGTCATACTAGACGTATCTTAAATCAGCGGCTACATATATACGCCTCAATCTTAGAACCTATTATTGTCGTCAACTTGACAAGAATTGTAGCTAAGCCGCAGGACCTTTCTTACATGCTCTCTTCCTTGCTTCGTTACTTCGTTAACAACTTGTCTATCCCGACTTAGATGCGCAATATCTAACCGGGAAGGATTTCGAAGACACGACAAGGCTTAACAATGTTCAAATAGGACACAAAAAGTAAACGATAAATCACAGATTCATTCCAATTGGCACAAGCAATAGATGGCTATGGTAGATAGTCGAGGAAAATTGATGTAGAAGACGACGTTTATGAATCTGGTCTAGAAGGCCAGTAAAAGACGAGGAAAACATATCTCCAGTAAGGAGGCGGAAATCTTCTCTATGTATGTTGAAGATGCGAGGTTCTTTGAAGGTGTGGAGAGGTATGGGGGTCTGTATCGATGAACTGACTAACCCGTAACAAGCCCAGGATGCGAGGCATGGACAAGGATTATATACATAGGTAGAAGACAACGTTCAAGGGTATGAAGAAGAAGAAGAAGAAGACCATAGCCGCAGACTAGTCTGTACCCACCTCCCCACAGACGGTCACTACCACAGACGGTCACTACCTAATACTGTGACGCTTTGCGGGCAGTAAACTGAAAACTGACAAGCCAGCCTTTGGGGTGGTACGTTTCCTGGGGCTTACATGGAGGTACCTACCTATGTATGATAGGTATGTAATAGTACGTACCTAGGTAAGTAGTATGTAGGGTTACTGGGTCACCAGAAGCGCACATGGCTTAAAGGGTCTGGCTAGTCAGACTGCCTACGCAGTAGGTTGACGACAGGCTTGGCTCGATAGCGATGGAGTACTAGAATACTAGAATACTAGAATACTAGAATACTAGATACTAGAATACTAGAGGACTGGATGTAGGGGAACAAGTGACACAACCACAGTAGGGGTCAGCGTTAGTAGTAGTATTGATGTACATATTGATGTACATGCAGGACAGGGGTCGAACCCCGGACCGTGACGGTTATTGCTTTGGTGCCAGATGAAATTGCCCGATGAAAAGGAAGATGTCTACCGGGGTCGACTTTAGACACGTACCATTGCATACATGCGATGCATTTGGAAGACCGGATCGAATTATTCGCCTTGCAAGATGGGTCCAAGGACCTATTTATTATTTATTCAAAAGGGGGACGGTTGCTCACGGCTGCCCACCCAACTTAGAGAGAGGTACGTGGGAATCCAGCACGTGCCCAACTCTCAAGCATATTCGAATAGCCGTTGTCAGCACAGATATAACCTAGTTAGCCAAATCCGAGAGTGCATTAGTCGACCGAATACATAGATAATTTCCAGGCCGTGTCGAAACAGCTTGGGTTAGAGAAGCAAAGACTAATAAATAATATATCCCACAAAAAAAGCATCAGAGTCATCGTGGTGGTTTACCAAATATCCGTCTGTATCTTACCGAGCTAGAGGAAGGTTCCTGCAGTTCGCCACGGAACATCCTTTCAGACTATCTAGACTAAACTTATACCTACGGCATGACGCAGAGGCGCACCCGAGAAAATACCGCTGGTAAAAAGGTAAAAAAATATTAACTTTCTTCTTTTTTCCTTATCAACATACCCAAACTTGACGCAGATGAAACTGGCCGTTTAAAAAAACTCAATGTTTTATGCATAGGTAATAGGTAGGTCATAACGAAATTGGTTCCTGTTGGGACGCCATAATAATAGATGGGTGTTGCCACGCGTGGCATTTACCTTTTTTTTTTTTTTCCTCTTCCTCTTTAGGCTTATCAACAACTCCTTACCTCTTAGATAAAAACGATATACTAATACCCCGTTATATGCTTAGATTATTGACATTATGTAGCTAATACGATTTAACTCCTCTCGTTGATATTTCGATCTTGTATTGCATAAAGTAGAGTTATATTAATAAATTCATATTTATTGACCCATTTTTACTGGGAAATCTGCTCTTTACTTTTGCCCATAGGGCCAGCGGGACTTTTCAAGTCCTAGCTGACAAGTGAGCCGTGATAAAATCCAGGGGTAATGAATCGTGTACATAATAAAATGTTAGTGCAGGTTTGCGCAATATTCACGAAATGAATCCACATGACATACATAAACACTGTATATTATATTGTGCCTTATCTAATAGGTTCTAGGCAAAATCCCAAAAGCCGGGGGGGCAATCTGATAAATCTGGAAATCTGGAAAATCTGCCAAGGGCTTACCAAGGACTTACCATGTCCCTTGCCCCCCAAAATAGCATAATCCGGTAAGCCAATAACTTTAAAGCATACTTACTCGAATCCGTACATTACCTGATCACAAAAAGGGTCCATTCGAAAGCCATGGGACGAAACTTTAAAAATAAACGGACTGGAAAGATAACTTAGTTTGTTCTACTCAACCTTTTGATAATTACCTAGGCACTTATAGGTAAACACCGGATAAAGTTAAAGGTTGTTGAATACCACAGCAACCTCTTTATATACCTAATAACCCCCCCCCCTTCCCCCCCTTTTAAGTACCTACCTATTCTACCTCCGAGCCATTGGAACTTTTACTTTAGCTATCAAACACAAATATGGGGCCTCCGATATTACAAATAATTAGTTCGGCCTTGTCAGTGTGATGCACCAATTTTTCACGTATAATGATGTTATATAGACCGACCTCAGGCTATATTCTCCGACAACGCAGCTGAAATTATCCTTAGTAGTCAGCCTTGACGTTAAGCGCATCGATATATGAATTTCTCTAGATGCTCTATGATGATCAATTCGTAACCAATCAGGCTGTGCAAGCGGCGAATCGGGAATTTCCAACAAACCTGAGGCGAGCCATAGACCGAAACCTGAATGACCTGCCGTTTACATTTATAATGTATCTATTTACCTTCACCGAGCACCAATAGAATCAATGCCACGACGCTGAAGGTCACCTAGACATTATGGTAGCTCCTTATTTGGTACATAATTTAGAGCATGGATAATTCCTATGATCATTCCCCGACCTTGACAGCGATGACTTGCATACGTAGTAGAACTACAAGCCTTCGGGCACGTTCCGCTGGCTGTCATTAGCTACGGGGAGGTATCGAGTCATAACATTGTGGCGGAAACGGAAACGCACAATGCCTACTATAGCGTACTGAGGTGGATTACCGCTAGGCGGCCGCGACGACGATTCGGGAATGCATGGCGCGTACTATATTGTACATACATGACGGTATGCGTAACCCTAGTGGCATCCGCCCCGATGGGTACGCGATGATCCCCTCTGCTGTTCTAGCCGGCTGTCAAATCTCGTCGGGTTTAGCATGTTTTTGGCAAAATCCCCGTACCCCGTCTATGGACGATCTGCATCGTTCAAAGCTGCAAGACAGATCGGTGCCGAGCCGTGATATGACCTCCATACCTTCATGTGCTGCGATTGGTTCCTCATGCACTCCTCAATAACTGTCAATCTCGCGCTAAGCTGCTCGCCTTCCTGTAGCACAGTTTGGAGAAGGCGATATTACCTTACAAGTCGTATTTCGTAGTAAGACTCTATTTCTAAGGGTGATCATATGCTGTGGTATGGATAACGTGATGTTGAGGATCCGAGTCAGTTATCTACCCGCGAGACGTTAATAATAATGATGGTAGCAATGATGCCTTTAGTAGCGTCCAGAGGTTGCTCTGGCAGACTGCTCTCGAGTCTTCATACAGGCACTACCGGTAGACGTTGTCGCTAACGGAATCATACAAGGCAATGAATACTTCATACACCGAGCTTCATGCAAGTTGTCCCAGTATAAAACATTACAGGCAGACTTTTAATCAAGTCGCGGCTGATATGTGTATATATGAGAGGTACCTATGTAATGCAAGCTTACCATTCGAGGAAAGATAACGTTGCCACAATGGCATTTATTAGGGGCATTCAAGAGCTATCATTGGTACCGCTTGATGTATGCTAACGCTAGGGATGGATGCCCTTTGCCCTCTACCCTATAATATGTACCCCCCACCTAGCCTCCTCGTCAACATGTGCGGACTTTCACCGCATGCACTTATTACACATACATACGTAAATACATGGAAGTAGTAGGTAATAGTAAACGCAGATTTTCTGACACTTGGTGGGCTCAGTTGGAGGCTTGACGTGGAGGTTCCACCCTCTTATTGTAGTTTATTGTAGCGTTGCTCTTAAGATGTCTAGGCAGCTGAGAATTCGATCCGGTTGGTCCCAAGTGTAGAAATAGGCACGATCTGAAGTTTGCAGTTTTGCCAAGGGCCGCAGATCTCTTTCCCCATCGAAGCAAGGGCCATCTTCGTAATCCCGAGAAGCTGGGGTGGTGACAGAACGATCCCGTGCGCCGCCCAAGCGCCTTGTGCTCGTAACGTGGTGTGCGTGGTGTGCGTGGTGTGCAACTGGTCCAATTGCGTTACGGGGAGGACAAAAGAGAGACAACGACAGCGGAACAGCTGCAGGTTAATGAATCCGGATCCATGACCACAAACCTGGTTCCCGGGTTCCGTCACGTTGATCTCGCTCACTTGTCACATCCCAACCCTGCCAACTTTTCGACCCGGTGCATACATACATAGTAACCACCATCCCGTTGGGACGCATTCAAGCTACCGATGAATACAAAACGAGTAGACCGGTTATTTTCTAGCTTCTAGCTTGGTGTTCACATATGTCACTTACTTTGGGGTCTCAATTATTCTTGCGATTCTTAGTATCAGTGCCACGAAGCAACGCTTAGTAGATAGGTATGGTATTGTATGGACCTAGGTATGGACCTAGAGCGGTTGTCCAGCTTCTGTTCGAATCAAACGGGATCGAATGGATGGATCAAGACGTTTGTGGTTGTGATGAAGAACCCTACTGTGACATGCAAAGGTGTATCTACCTAAAGTTACAAACTTTAGGTAGCCTATGCGGATGCGGATGCGCTGAACTTTACTTTGCT